ACCCCTACTATTTCCAATACCTCTATCACTCGGACCACCCCGCTACGAGTCTTACCACAGTTACCACAACTACTATTTTCTTTGCGCTGACGCTGCCACAAAGGTGGATTTCTACTTTGCTTAGCCCAAAGAAGCCCGAAACCACTGAAACGACAACCGCAGAAAAGTCTCTACAGTATTATTGTTCCTCTCTCCTCTTTCCTCACTCCTGCTTCTCCTTCGTTAAGTGGCCCGATCCCAAAGAAACCCGAAACCAGGTAAGCTAAAGACATCCGCAAAGAAGTCCCTAGTAAGTGGAATACCTTTTCTGTTCCCTCCCTTTGTCACTGTCACGCTGGCTTTGGTGCTTCGTCCCCTGCCCTTTCTGCTGCTCCTAGTGCTTGTAAAGCACTCCCAGCAGAAGCAAAAGCAAAAACAGTAGGGGAAAAAAAACGTGATAAAAAACCGGAAAACACTGAAAAAATACCGGAAAAATATCCATCCATTACCAAGAACGCACTTTCACCGCAGTGGGCACCGTAGGGAGAACTTATCCACCGCAAATACTGCTGGAACAGGATGGGTTCCTAATTCATGGTTCCTAATTCAGGTCACAGGATGGACTAGGCTGACTAGACCCACAACCCTCAACTGACTGAGGCCGCTGTCGGGTTTCAAGTCTGCGACCGCGCGCGAGGGCTTTTGGCGGCCCGCTTTCACAGCGCCCTACACTGACCCGGTGAGCCCGAAGGGAAACCGAAAACGGGGCCAAGAGTCTCAACTCGGATGAATGCCACAGGTGGAAAGGCAGGGAAGCCGGGAAGCTAAGAACCATTATACAGAGATCAACATTTGTTGTTGGCCCGATCCACTGAACCAACGAGCCTCTAGATTTGTTCAGTCCAACCGAAGCGAGAACGCACAGTTCACATCGGTGAAGATCATTTTTCTGCAGGTTTTCTCTTTTCACCTCTGAAAGCACTTCCAGCGACTCGCGCAGGACAACATGCGGAGTCCTGGGCCTGGGACCTACCCCAGTCACTCCGAGTTCCCGGTGGAGAAGTGCCGCCGGGCACGGAGTGTCCCGGACTTCTTCTCCCGGAGCCTTGGTGAAGTGGCCCTTGGTGAAGTCTCCCAAGAAAGAAAGGAGTCGACATGAAGAGTTGTATCAAGTTTTGTCAGGATAGCCTTCATTTTGATTGATTTGGTTGATATTGTTTTGCCAGTTTTGACACTTTGGAAGGATTTAGCGGAGATTTGATCAGGACAGGTGCTGGAAAATATCTTGATTCTTGGGAAGGATGGTTCGCGTCACGATTCGTCTCCGCTCAGGAAATACTTTGGAGTGCAGAATCCCCATCAGCTCAGATCCTTGCGAGAGACGGTCACTTGCCCAAATTCTTTTGAGGTTCTGAAGCTTCCTTTGAGGTTCCGTCCACTCAGGGTTTGCGATCGTGTCTGAGGACGGATCTCGTTTGGCGGGCTTTGACTGCAGTGGCCCACAGCGGCCACCGCTGGTCTCAAATTCACTGGCAGCTCCTGGAACCTACAACCCAGATGACTGTCTGGGTGGCTTGTCTTTGCATAGAAATGCATTTTTTCTGACATGTTTTTCACTAGATTCTTAGCAAGAACCGCGCTTGGGGTCATCAGAGTCAACATAGGTAGACGAGCCCAGTCCATCTCAGCTGAGGCCAGTCCATCTCGGCCAAGCTCCGGCATTGTGCCAAGATCGCCCAAGGAGGGGCCTTTGGCAGCACGAAGACGGGTGAACGCTTTCCACCTTCCAGCTTGGCCCCAGGCACGCCATGACAGCTCTGGCCTTCCTGCTTGTTCTGGAGTCTAGAGAATTTCCAGAGAGTTAATCGCTCCTTGAGAGGTGATGAAAGTGTGTCTCCTGGCCCCGCACTGCCGCATCAAGATGCCATGAAGGCAGGGTGTCATCCTGAAGACCTAGAACCAGTGGGCCGAGAAGGACCTGGTTTGTGAAACTGTTCCCGGCCCAGGACGCTGGGGATGCTGCAGGTGGATCTTTCAAATCTGAAGCCCAGCGACTGACTTCGAGGGAGGAGGAGCTTCTGGGGAGCTGCCGAGCGAAAACTGGGGAGAACACACCGCTTTAGAGCCGCATTGCACGCAAGCAAGGGTCCACGGAAGCATACTGGAGAACAAATGGCCACGGTTAAACGGCCAAAGAAAGAACATCAAAAAAGACAGGCAAAGAGAGGCCTAAAGGTCCCAAAAGAAAGTCCACTGAAGCGTGATGCATCTCACCACAGGAGTCACCGGGACCTGGGACATACGACGTTGTGACCAAGCCCGACTTCCGTGTAGGCTGGAGGCCGGAGAGGTTTCACAAGTGCAAGTCGTCAAGGATCGTCAAGGTGTCGGTCGTGAAGAAAAAGGCAGCAGATTGACTTGAAACTAGGTGAGATTCGGATGATTTCGATGATTCTAAAGATCTGGAAGAGGTTTTGAAGGTCTTCTCAAAGCAAGGGCATTCTCGGCCAGGATCGCGAAGACGGATCACGTGGGCTTTGGCAGCTCTGACGAGAGGTTCGGCGACGCCTGCACCGATGCGCCGCCTCCCGGTGCTTACGAGCTGGACACCGATGCGAACAAAGGCGAGGGAACGGTGCATGGCCGTAGCCTCATGGGGCAGAGAGCCAAAGCCAAGAACCATTTAACATCATTTAACATCCATTTTCACATGCCTTTTGGATTGTTGATGTGAAACAACATGAGATTCCACGCGCGGGCTGGCTCATAGGCCTTAGGGATGTGAATGCGTCAGCACTGGCCAGTTATAGCATGTCATATCATATTTTCGATAGTGTGTCCATGCTGGCATCACTTCCGGCATCGACATATTGTGGTGGTTGCAGCTTGTCATTGTTTGGTCATTCTCCTGTTATGCCTGTTTTGATGACCGCCAAGCCAAGCCAGTGGATTGCAGCTAGCAGACTTGTTTCTCTCTTTCCCAGCAGCTGCAGCATACGCTTTGGATGTACGGAAACGCTGTTGATGGATCAGTGAGGAGGTCTTAATTGGAACAGGGACGATCTAGGTCACATGTACGTGACATCTACTGGTCGCATGGCTGCCTGGAGACAAACCTTATCTTGTTTTCAGTGTTTTCCAGATTTCCCTGTGGTCTGGTACATCTTGTGAGGCTGCTATGCTTTCAAGGCGACTGCATCGCGCGGCCTCCCTATGCCCAAGGTTGCGCAGCGCGGGCTGGATCCAGGTGCGTGTTCGTGAGACGTTGCAACACCTGGTTTTGGTGGATAGTTTCATCATGCTTGGATTATCTCCAGCTGACAATCAATATTTCCAATCTAGTTGCTCAAGATGCCCTAGAGAAAACAAAGTTGAACGGAAACGAGCCAGAGATCAGAGTTGAACTCCATGTGATGTGGGGCAGGTATGTACAACACTGCTGGGAGTCTCCTGCGCAAGTCCTTCAACACGAAGGCAGCTTCATGTCTGTTCGTTGATTTCATACAATTTTGGCATGCTTCAGTTGCTGCGTTGCAACGAAGACACCACATGGATTCTTCTCGATTCTGGCCGAATCGATGGAGATCAGGTGGAAGAGGCTGCATTTCTCCTGCAGATTCATGAAAAGAGGCCGCCGCCGCGGGGTCCCTTCCCGTGGGCGGAAGGCGACTTGCCCGCAGAACTCCGAGCGACGACCGTCGAGAGCCCACATTTGAGTCGCCTGGTCGGGTGAGGTTCTACTTGGCGACCGCGACAGGCATTGGCCCTCGAGGTGCCAAACGATCTGAGTTGCAACTCTTTATTTGTTTGTTACGCACCTCTTCGAAGATTTGCAGGACCTTGTTTTGGGGAGACCGCTTGTCTCAAGAAAGTGAACTCCAATTGTGTTTCAAGATGTTTCTTTTCATTTCACCTTTTCTCCTGTGCGGATCTCTATGTTCTACGTTTAGCGCTTGGCCGTGTTGTTTAAATTTGATCCCTCTTGAGGAGAAGGCCATGGAGTCGAATGCTTTGATCGAGGAGACCGGCGCGACCAGTCCATAATGGACCCGTTGCGCTGTGGAGGTTGGCTTAAGGCCCTTTGTGATGGAGGGACTTTCGCATTGATGATCATTCCAGTTCCATTCCTGATATTTAGGCTTTTTGACATCCAACATCCGGTTTGAATGCTGACTGCTGTAAAGGTATGTACTGTATCCTCAACTAGGGCATTTTAACCGACCTCAATTGATGTTTCCATCGGCTTCTGGCAAATTTTCCCGTGGGACCGCCCTGACCGCCTCGGCCTTACCAAATGAGAAGGGTGCCACGAAGTTCTTGAGTTGATATTAGCCCACCAGCTGGAGATTTGTGCGGCCCAACATGCCTCGTATGTCTCGAATGGTTTCGTGACGTTTTCCTGGTTCTAGGATTTCTAGGTGTTTTGCGAGTCATATTTGTAAGGCCACCGTATTGGCTTTCCGCCCAATTTTCGAAGTGCTTTCCAAGAAAGCCCTTGTACCCATGTACCATATTACGCCGATGCCACCGGCTCATGGCAAAAAACGGCCCATTTGGCCTCTAAGGGGCCCTTTTTCGCTCCTTCACCCTTGTGCTACTGTAGGATCACTCGCAGGCTTTTCTCAGCTAAAGATGCTGATCTCTGATCCCTGGCCTTTCGGGCCTTTGAGCTTGAAAGCCTGGGAGGAAAAAATAAAGAAAGCCTTTGTGGCCTTTCCATTCGTCACAGCCCACGAATGGTGCTGTGTGCACAAATGAGGCCGATGAGGCCTATATAGGTCCCACGAAAACCTCGTCCGTTGGCGATGCTGGCTCTGTTTCATGTCCCCTGACCAGCCCGCTTGCTGACGCCATGGCCGGGTTCTTAGCGATGTGTCTCGACACCCAGAAAGAGTGGTCAAATAGCTAGTGACTAGTGACATCGCTAAGTGGAGGCCATCGCTACTAGTGACGTGGCTTCGTAAGACTTGGTGACGACGTGGTGATTTTCTTTTGGCAAACCTTGGCCAAACGTGCGAGGCGCTCTGCGCTCCGCTGCTGAGTGTGCTGGATGGTGTTTGCGATGTGACATCGCAGTCGCTTGGCGGCTATGAAGATTATGAAGATACCGAACATGGCCTTATAGATTGTGAGGCTTTCAAGGGATCCTGGGTAGCAGACATGTGACATGTTTGATCCAGCACTGGCAGTGGACCACTCCTTTCCATAGTGCTCTCCAGCTCAGGGTAGCCGACCGAGAGGCAGGCTTGAAACGCTGCTTGAAAACCATCAGAAGCCTTTGCAGAAAGCAAGGGCTGAGTTTGGGTAGAGCAGAGAGCTGCTTGCATTCATCAATCACCTTTCATCCAGCCTGGATTGGACGTGCTTCATGTCAGGTAGCTCGACATGCACATGCAGCCCCAGAGTATGAACGCTGGATCTTGCAGGACGGGACTGACAGAGCTGTAAACGGTTTGAGGACAGCTGCGTGAAGTGGTTTTTAGCATTGCAGTTCTCCGTTGCGCTTACATTCCTGATGTCATGGATATCTTTTGGGTTGCCGTCTTCAACCATGGAGACAGAGAAAGGGATCACAGACTAGATGACCGGCTCTATCATTCCAGGTGCTCAGTAGTGATGCGTGTGGCCCTCACTGGATGCCTTGCATTGACCGTGAGCCCTTGAAGTCCTCTGTGTCTTGGCAACCATTAGTTCACTTGTCGTCACGTGCGCAACGCCTGTAGAGAGCGGCTGTGAATGTCAGGAATTTGGCTTTAAACCTGCACAAGCGCTAGGCCGCTAGGCCCCTTCAAAGTTGAATCATTCTCCCTTTGTTAGACAAGCCTTTTTATCGGATGCTGACATGATTGCACATGTTAACTTTAAAGAGTATGTTCCAACCAATCCCGGAAAAATCTTGCGCACGCGCGCGCAAGCGCGCGTGTGCGCGCATGCTCCCACTTAGCGTGTCGTGTTCTGCGTGCTGGGCAAGCATGAACAAAGGCCCCGTCAATCACCGGCATCATGCAGCAGTTCATCTCTATGTGTCAGGACGATGTGGAAATAAACGAAAAGGTGTGATCCAGTGAGTGGTGTCTCTTTTTCGAGGACAGTCGCCAGCCCATTCCTCCCAGTCCTCCAAGCCTTCCCGCCGTGTGAAACTAGATGCGGGGCTTTGAGGGCAGAAGCTTTCCCCTGCCTTGTTCAAGAGCTATCTGTCGCCAGGGGAAAGCTTTGAATCCTGCAACGCAGCGCAGGCACCGTCGGGAGAGCTGGAGGGATGGACAGTCATTGCACACTTCTTTTTGTTGAGCGGTTTTTGGAGCGAGGTAGCCTCAGTGGAGCAACTCATTAGCAGCCCAGGCCGATGAGCTTTTTGTGGCAGCAATTGTGGTTTATTCCCAAGGGTGTTGGCTCCTTGTTGAAGATGTCGTGCAACTTTGTGTAGGTCACGTCTCTGCCAATTCGTCCAAAGAAGTATCGCAGGCATCGCGGCTTAGTTTTGGGGAAAGACGCCCCGAATGGCTCAGTTTACACAGGCTGTGCACAGTTTACACCGGATTGAATGTGAGGGTGCCTTTTCCTATTTGGTTCCTAGTAGCTTCTTGTTACTACTAGCGATGCACCTGTTACTACTAGCGTGGCACTTGTTCCTAGTAGCGATGCACCTGTTACTACGGCTTCACGGATTTCACACGTTTCCGGATCAATCGAGACTTGCTCGTGGCGTCCTGCACCCTGTCCTTTGGGGACAGATGCAACGAGCAGCGCAGCTTGGCAGGTACCCAGTTCCTGCAGTTCTGGGAAACGTGCACGCAGCCAGGACTTGCGCAGCTATTCTGGGGGGAAGCAGGCGTATTTGGTCCGTTCCTTCGACTGGGAAGGCAACTCCTCAGGATCACCTTTTTGATCGCTACTAGGGTCTCCTGGCCTTACTACTAGGAGCAAGGACGCTACTAGGGGCTCCTGGCCTTACTACTAGGAGCAAGGACGCTACTAGGGGCTCCTGGCCTTACTACTAGGAGCAAGGACGTTACTAGGGGCTCCTGGCATCGCTACTAGGAGCAAGGACGCTACTAGG